TTCCAAAAATTTGTATTTAACGTTGCTTGTTTTCTCTTGTTACTTTTATATACTAGAATCAGTTTCTATGAAGAGAACAGACTGTTGAATTCTTTGGAATCCTTCTACTGGAAGTTCATCGTTGATCTACMATCTATATTCAAGTTYATATMTATCTATCTATATATGTAMATTAGTAAATATACATTTACTTACCTAGTACCGAGAAGATTTCAAAGAAGTGTTGGTTATTGATAAAAATTTGGCGTTGAAATAACCAGCCAAATGAACGCAGCCACTCCTAGATCTGTCTWTCGTGAAGCACTTGTGTATGCAAAAACTTGTTATTCAGTATATTGATGCATTTCGTTAATATCAGTAATACATTTTAAGGTATTATTCACGATTGAGTATGTTAAGTGCCGGTGTGCAGTGATTGGTCGAAAATGTGGTGTGAAATTCACCGAAGCAAATTTACGCATGCGTTGTCGTGACAGCTATTTGTCAGCTTGGTCAAAACTTACTCTCGGATTTGATTGAGCTCAGCTCTGAGATTGATAAAGAAACTATTAATATTTTCAATAACGGATGCAGTAAAGCATCTAAAAGACTTTTTTTTAAATGTGATGATATTAGGATTTATYAAATTGAGCTGATCCTTGCAGTATGTGAAGCAACTTATGCAGCTGCAAATTGAAGTCCCTTTCAAGACTCAGACTTTTTTCTGAGTCTTTCAATTTGCAGCTGCATAAGTTGCTTCATATACTACGAGGATCCGCTCAATTTGATACATAACAACCGCAGTACAAATATATATTTCATATACACTCAATTGAAGAATCGTTGTCGAGTTCAGAAACATAAAACATGAAATGGCACTTGGGAAGTACGTTAATTAGATGCATGCTGTGACCGGCGACCCGTGGCATCATCCACTGTTTTTAATACGCGTTTGACATTCTAAACCGACTGCATGGATGGCGCAAATGAATAAATTATAATATAATTATGTGATTTCCCATGTACCATTTCGGTCTCAGCTTTTATGTTCTATGTTTCTGAACCCGACAACGTTTCTTCAATTGAGTGTATATTCTCATACACATATTAGGATACCATTAAAGCTTTATAAGAGTATTTTATCTAATGGGGTGTAGCTGTAAGGGTGAATCATCGAGGCATAAAGCACGCAGCACATGGCATCGATCGATTCTCTACTCTTCATTGAGCATGAAATATTAGCAACCTAAACATGATTAGTATTTTGAAAATTTAGTATAGGAAATCGGACGATCTCCAGTACAATTCGGAATTTATGGGTACGAGTGCTGTTTTGAAAATTTTTAAAAAATTGGACGAGCTTTTAGGCGAGTCCAATTTGAGAACTTTCAAAACACTCCGAGTATCTATAGATTCTGACTATAAAAAAATTCTGTTCATAGTACACTCAACAAAATTGAGAAATTTAATTGGGACTCTACAGAGTACAATTCTTAAAGGCTCGTGCAGTTACAAGAACTTTCAAAACATTACTCGTGTCTATTAATTTCCAAATTGTACGAGAAGATAGTGCGATTTTTTGTTTATAGTTCACTCAACAAAATTTCAGTAAAAAATGCGAAGCGACGCCGTTCATCTTTGTCTATTTGGCGGCCGATTTCAGGGCATCGAACTGAAATGCATAAAAAAGATTATTCTTACGGCTTTAAAATTTGATTTATATGTTTTTTAAGTACAAAATGATAGAAAATAATTGTTTTGACATTGTTTTGGCCGTGTTGCCATAGCAACTTAATTCGGTACTCATACGGAGTACAATTAACGCTATAATTGTACTTCTCTCGACCAATCAGAATCGAGTAATTTTGTTGAGCGTASTATAAGGGATTTAATTGTACTTCTCTTGTCCAATCAGAATCGAGTAATTTTGTAGAGTGTATTATAATTCGTATTATAATCACCAAACCACGAAGTAGTTTTTCTGTATGCGTAGGTACTTCATTTATTGTCAGTTACGTGTAGCTTACAACAATTGTTATACAAGTACTATATTTTAAGTTCCCGAATGAAGTATGAAGCTGATCTTAAATTGGAAGTTCAGAAAAACATCGCATTCTGGTCTGGCTTAGGCCGGTAGAAACAACACCATGATAAGCGTGATAATAAAAATATTTTGTTAGTACCCAAACTAGTCCTAAATACACCATGTTCGCCTTCCAGCTGATCTGAAACAGTGCAGTTTTCGTATGAACGTGAAAAGTTCACGCCACGAACATGGTCGTGACACAGCAAGGGATACGCCAGACCAATCACATTGCACGAGAATTTACTCTTCATCCAATCAAATACCCGGAACACGGCATAAACACGGCKTGGACACGGTCACGCCAAGGTCACGGCAATGCCAGACCAATCACATTGCGCGTGAAAAAATCAGSCAATTAAAATTCTAGAAAGCATCACGGTCACGGCACGTCACGCTTACGGCACTGAGCTTTTCACAGTCRTACGAAAACTGCTCTAGTGGCGTAGAAATGACGTCACTGCAATGAAACTGAGGTGTCATGAAACCTGCGAAAATTGACCAGAGAAAAAGTTTAAAATCATTCCTGCCATTGCAATCATGAAAATATAAAACGTATCAATTATCGGTCACGATTATCAAGATCGTATTAGCAACGTTTTTTTTTTGTTTTTTTTTTTCATTTGGTGGCCTAGAAATCCATAATGTTTAGAGGAAAAGTGACACAGTTTTTTTTTTTTTTCAATTTTGCTCGATTCTGATTGGCTGACTTCTTTTTTTTTTACAGATCAGCTGGTTACCTTGAACCCAACAGACTCTTTCTAATTGGTTAACACAACAACAGAAAGCCTCCCAAATCTACATACATATACATACATACATACATATTTTATTGTACCAAAAAGTAAAATAGAACTAATACAATGTGTATATAACGAATTATAAGGTACAGGCTATCTGCAATAACCATGAGGCTAACCTAGGCAGACAGCTTGACATGAAAAATAATTGCAAATTTGGTACAGGAAGAGAATGAGTAAAATTATATAGTGCAAGAAAAAAAGAAAAAAAAAAATTACTTTAAGAAAAAAAATCTATCAAACCAGAAGCGGAAATGGCTGGTGTACAAGTCACGTGGATTCGCYCTAAACCTAAAACGATTCAGAGTTGAAACTAATCTTATTATATAAATGCAACTGAGCTACTGGGAAATACGCCACTCGTATTTTTTCATACTACACATCCGGACACATCCGTCAATGACGTCTTTCCATATACTCACACCTGAAGATATCGATGACGTCACTTGTTTTCCCTCTCACTTCAACACGCACTGCAACAAGTTCTTCTTTGTTTGTGGATGTGTTCGTACGATAAAAAWAAATTTACACGTTGACTTGAAGATATGAAGTTTATCTTCTCGCGTTGAAAAACATTTCACTCGTTCGCTGCACTCGGCACTTGTGAAATATTTTTACCACTCGMAGTTAAACTTCATATCTTTGCACCACCGTGGAATATCCTCTATGTATTCAAGAAGTATATATAAGAAGTACCGATGGAGTCAGTGATTAGAAAGGTGAGCTATTCAGTGGTACCAGAAAACATAGTACGAAGTTCCAGGAATTGGAAAATGGCGTCGACGATGAAAACAATAGTCGAGATGAAACTGAAAGCCTGAAATCAAGGGTGAAAATGGATGTGAGAGAAATAAGAAGGATGAGAGAGAGAGAGAGAGAGAGAGAGAGAGAGAGAGAGA